GAAATCTACAAACGGCAAATGGTGCCCGCAAAAGTAGGCAACGGATTTTTAAACTTCTGACCCAGACAATTTATATGCATGAAAAGGTGTGAGTGAGGGGCCTGTTGGGCATGTATTGTATACACCCCGTTTTTGCCGAACGTATTTTAGTCAAACGAAAAAAAGAAACTACTAAGAGCGTCGGCTGCAAGCGACTGCACAATACTCTGTTCACATAAAAAGAAAGAAATCGCTCGCAAAAGAGTATTCGTATTTGTGGCTCTAAGGCTGCAAAGCAGTGACGTTTCAACTGTAACTTGAGTGATAAATTAAGCATTTCCATAGTTCAATATACTCTTTTTTTCACTTTTTGAACAGAGTATCGAAATTGAATAATACGAGAAGGCGAAATGCGATTTTTACGTTTTTCTTTATATTTCTTTGCGGTTGCCCTTTTGATCGGCTTAGACTCTGGACACCGTGGAAAAATGTGCGCTCAAAGGGCATAAATCATTGTGAATTTATCATAAATCAAATTCAATTTTGTGTATAGCTGCCATTGGCACGCCCACGCCCACGTCAACATTCAGGCTGTTGTCGTTGCTCTGTATATTTGCTTAATACATACATATTTTATTTATTTGTGATTGTTTCCAGTTGACTTGGGCAACAGTTTTGTCTTCGCATCGCGCGCCAATTGACATGCCTCTCGACCATTTTTCTCTGCATTTCTTCTAATTTCCTATGACAAACAACAAATACTTGAATTTCCTGCGGCGCACAGTTTCTAAAGCATCTGCTTAAGAAAATGGACATAAAAGAGTTAAGAAATTGAAAAGTTGTTTGCTGTAAAATATATAATGGGTGTCTATTAGCTGGGCAAGATGTTGAGATTAATACTTGAACGAGCAATTACCTGGGTAGCTAATTTATGTTGGCTCTTAAATGGCTAACGGAAATTCGGCAATATAGTTGAAGTATGCGTACTAGCAGAAATTACCAGAATACGCCCGGGCGGAAAGCAAGCCAACTCCAGACATTAACTGCTCAAAATATGAAACTTTAAACAAAATTTCAGCTCGCTAACTGACTTGGACTGAGCCTTGATCAGCACATGCTATTTTATATAAATAAATATAAATAAAGTTAAGCGCAAATAAACTTAACCAAAATTTATAACATACTTTACAGATTTGTCTTGTTTAACTATTTCTGACATCTCGCAACTCGTAAAATCAAGTACGCATTGCACATTTGCAGTATCTACTGTATGCGTATAATCGCTTATTTTCTCATGCGCTATCACAAGTTACGTGCAAATTGCCCATTGACCATGATATTCGGTGGGCAGCTTGTGGGGCCCTGGGCGGGGCATTGGTGTCACTATTTGATGGCCCTTGGTAAGCACTCACACATATATATATATACACACACACACAGACACAATATGTCATTTTCGCTATTGGCCATTTCCATTTCTATTTCCATTGCCCCCAACCGAACCGACAACCTTCTGACATCATAAAAAAAGTTTTATGCGTCGTGCGTTCGCCTCGCTGTGCATTTCGGTTCGACGTATCTGCTAATTGAATCGCCGCTCCGAGCGACTCGTAAAAACTACAAGTGCTGCAGTATGAATCCTAAACATGTCCACTAGTTTTTGATATATGTAGATATCATTCATTGGCTTCTGCTGCAGCTTTGCACGTATCATGACTGCAAGCATTGAAAAATTATATGAGTGGTGCGGTGCGCAGTTCGAGCTCGGGCCGAGGCCTTCAGGCTTGGTGTGTGGGCAAATGTTTTTTGAAGCATTGATCCCTGTTTTCGGTTTGTAACATATTTTTCGGGTTTTTTTAATTAAAAGTTTATATATTTTGTTTAATTCATTTAATTTTTAATTAATTCTTACACGTTAATATTATATTTTTGAATATGAATTCAGTATTAAATATATTTAAATCACTTTGCAGCTTTGATAAACGTTAACAGAGGGCTTTAGTCGGGAGTGCCTGACTAGGGGATGGCCTGAACCTTCTGCTACACATTCCAAATGCAGCTGATGCTGATCCAACTATTGAATGAAGGAAACTTCTTCTGTATATTATATTTTACTTAAAAACAGAATTTTGATATCGATTTCTATCGATTGCTGGGAAACGGACTAAATTATCTAATATCGGAAACAAACTATGTGGACGCACAATTTCATTGTGTTCATATATACGGGCAAACGGACTTTCGGACGAAAAGGCAGGACAGACGAACATGACTAGATCGACTTGGCTTTTCATACTGATCGAGAATATATATGCTACAGACATTTGTGCAAAAACATTAAAGCATTTTTCCCCATTTTCAATGGGATCAGGGTATAAAAATAAAAAACAACATTTATTTATTTGTAAGCTTTGGCTGTAGCCAACATATAGTTTACCTTAACTTTTTATTGTCCTTCACTATTCACACTTTCGCTGCAATTCTTTCTTTCCTTTTATACGAAAGAAAAAAATAAACTTAAATGAAATTTGTTGTTTATCTTTTAATAGCATTCAAATTGGAATATTAAGCTGAGTATATTTAATTAAACCCTTACACACTGACTGACTGAATAAAAAACACAAGTCAAACTTTTTTTGGCAGGCACTGGCCGACCTAAAGATACGCTTTACTAAGGTTATGTTATATGCATGTTTAACAACTAGCTGAAGAAATAGTGACAAGTAGATATATCCCAGTCTGTTGTTCTTCTAAGATATACAAACATATTTTACAATTCTTTTAAAAAGGCACACCTGTCGGTAGAGTATAGGCGGCTGGCTATATGTTTGGCTGCTCTCTTCGTTTTCTTGTGCATGTTTTTATTTGTGGCACTTTCATTGAACACGAAGCTGCATTAAAAAAACATATTTTATCGCACCAAGTGCTCTTGTTTCCAGTCGCTGTGCCAGTTGTTGTTGTTTTCATCTTATTTTTTTCTGAAAATAAACATTTGTGCTATGTGGACTGCATGTGTCTGGTCATTGTGTCGGTTGTTTTATGAATGTATTTTTGATCTTCTTCTATTGAATGAATTTTTCTTTTTTTTTTTTTAATGAATGAACAACATTTTTCCGTTAGCCTTTTATTATTTTTTACTATTGCAGCTGGACGTAGGTTGTAGGGCTGCGGGGTGTTCGCATATGAGTTTTTATTAGCTGCTGTTTGCCAATTGATTGGAAATATTTCTTTTCATGTTTTTCTTGTCCACCCCTCCATTTGAAAAGCCGCAAATAAAAACAAAGCAAAATGCTTAATAAATACAGCAAAACACCCTACCGTACACCCTACCGTACACATTACCGTACAGCATACCATACTGAAATGCGCTGCCAGTGCTCTTCAAGTGCTCTTCAAGTGCTTTTGAGCGATGGCATATGAATTGCCCCACTGTTTAGATAATAATAATTCCACGCATTTTATTTGAGTATGGAGCGTGTGTTTAGCAAAAAGATTTATGTATGAGCTTTTGCCCTCTGACGGCTGATGTTTAGCTTATAAATCTTTAATTTATTTTGTTTTGATTATCGGTTATTATTATGCTCAAATCCATATGGGATATGAAACAATTTTGAAAGCCAACATATTTTCGCAATTCTTTAATAATTGAATAGCGAAAGTTTTCTTTTTGTTTTCTATCAAAACAATGTTCTCGTGTTACGAATAATTGGAGAGACATTTTTCTGCTTTGTTAAGAGTTATGAAACTAATCCGTATATGTTTACGTGAACAAACTTATGAAAATTTTTGTTAATAAAAAAGAATCTGAAATAACCTATTCATAGAGTCAAAAATGATTATTTACGATTACAATTGACAATTCGACATGTAGATTACAATAAATAAAATCCTATATTCGGCTTAACTGTTGCTCTACGCATTCGCTTAATGAATTTTTAATCTAGTGTTTGATTTAAACTCCTGCGCGATATTAAGTCAAAACAGTACTCTGTTAGCGTACTTTTCTCTCTTAGCCTAGCACTGTTAACTATTTAACTTAACAGAATTGGCTTGCGCTCTCTTCCTGTAACAGCAGTCAGCGCAGCGCTTACATGCTTGCGCGCCATTTTTAATTTGCCTAGACTAGCCTTAAAGTTAAATACAATTATTGAGTTAAATATCATTTTAAAAGTACTAATTTTTTGCTGTTAAATTAAAAATGAATTTAATTTATCAAATTGTAAAGTTTTTACTTTCATTTCAGCTTTGTGTTGGGCTTCTCGCATGCGATAATATGCCAAACTGGCGCTCGGAGCACACAGCTCAGCTGAATAGCAGAACAGAACGAGAGAGTGAAAAAGTACGAAGCTTGCGCTCACACAACTTAACAGTAGTTGTGGGTGCCCGAACGACCCACTGACACACTGATACTGTTACACAGACGGCAATGCTTGTGACTTGGACGGCTGATAACAGCGCGCAATTGTATGAGTGAGAGCGGGAGAGCCACCAGGCGCTGTTAACGCTATGCAGCTATTGCTGGAGCAGCGACGGCCGCTGCTGCTGCTGTTGCTGTTACGCAGACACAGGTACAAAGCGTGCTGGCGCCTCTGCTGTTACCCATCTTTGCTGCTTGGCTGCTGCTCGCTTGCTGTTGGCTGCCGACGCCGCTGTTGCTTGCTATCTGCCGCTGCCGCAGCCGCTGCTCGTTCCGTTGCTCGGCGTTCGCGTATGTTCCGAATTTGCAGTTAAACTTTCAACGTGCGCGCATCAAGGCAGCGACAAGTGCTTAGGCGGACGGGAACAGCGACGCGTCCGCAATTTTCACGCGTTGTGTTTTCAAATATTTTGGGGCTGCGCGTAACGGTCAGCGAAAAAGCGAAACCAAAGAGCAACAAAAAAAAGATAAATAAAAAAATAAATACTAAAAACAACAACAAGAGAATAAGCCGCTGCTTAGTGTGTGGGAATTTTAAATTGTTGCATTAAATAAATAAATGTGAAAATAAAAACAAAACGAGAATTCAAAACGGAAAAAACGGAAATTATTGAAACAAAAACAATTTAGCTGTCTACAAAAATCCAAAAAAAAGATAGTGTGTTCTTAAAAGCAAAGTATAATAGTTGTTGTTGGTGCGCGTATAAATTTCAAAATGTTTGAAAAATATTCGATGAAAAAGTGCTCGACGCAAATTGAACAGCATGAAGATGAAAAAACTGAGCGAAATATTTTGAAAATTATATTCTTGGCAGTGCTCTACATTTCGGTTGAGCTTCATTAATTGAAAACATTAGAAAAGAAACTGAAAATAATATTATATTATGTAAATAACGGATACTGAGTGAGACATATATTAATAAAACTGAAGAGCCGCGCGTGAAAATCAGCTGACTTAAAAGATTACGGTTGGATTTTTGTGTTTTTAGTTTTTCCAGTGTTTTCTTCGGTCTTTATTATTTGTGCGTTAAGCGCAGCGCGACATTTGGCACCTGTTCAGCAAGTTTTTAAAAAGCGTTTAAAAAATCATTTCAAGCTATTTATGCAAACGAGTGAGACCCACATAGAGAGAGAGATAGAGAGGAGGAGAGAGCGAGCGAGAGAGGGGCAGGAGGTGTAACTAAGCAGCCGTTGACCTAATGTAAGTTGTTTTCTGTTGCTTTGTATGCTTGTTATTAGATTAAGATTTGCTTGTTTAGCACTTAAGCGTATATATATATATTTATTTTTCTTTACATCTATTTTTTAAGAACTGACTGCGCTCGTTATCGCTGCTCAAGCGCATAAACAAATTGTTTGACAACTTAAGATCTGAATGTGCTGACACTCGGAAAATGTCAACACCTCTTTTGCTTATCTGGCAGCGAAAGAAACTTTAATTATATATGTGAAAAGCACTTGATATAGTCTGTTCAATAATGACGCAGCTCTTGCAGTTAACCGGTCAACTTTTAAGGCCAAATAGTCTAAATCGGCTGGCAAGTATCTGTGAGATACAATTGTTATTTTGTATGCAGCATCAACAGGTACTTGGAATTGTGCTGCATTTCCAATAAAACAGTTTAGAAAATGAATCAACTGTGCTATGCACAGCATTTTTTTTTTCCGCACTGGCAACGCTTCACTTACCCCAACAAGTGCAGCAACAGCAGCTACTTATGTATCTTTGAAGTTGCAAAAGCATTTAAGCAGGCATGTGGCGGTGTGGGTGTGTGTAAATTTACACTTAACTGCAAAACAACAAACTTAATTGCCCGAAAACCCAAATAAAGCTCAACACGGCGGCAACTGCGGCGCACTCACGCCTGCTTGTCTATCTATCGGACCGACTGTATAACTGAGGCACGAGCAAGTGTTGTCGTTTTGAAATAATGCCAGCAACAACAACAGCTCAGGCCTTGAACATGAAATGTGAAAAGAACGTTGCCAAGAGATGTAGCAACAATTCCTGTGAGCACTTACACTAATTGCAGCTGATGTGAAGATTATTGAAGCCGGGGGCGTCTGTCAGCTGGCTTTCAACCCTTTTTCTTATACCCTATCCAAGAGCTAGTGGCTTGAAATTTGAATGTATATATTTTCCTATGCCATGTATAGGATATGTACGGGAACTCCTTCCAATTTTATAAGCACAATTCAAAGACTCTAAGAGCTAAATACATTAAACTCGGTAGATAGGTTCTTGTATGGTATAAATAGGTTAAGAATACTTTAATTTCGGATGCCTACCACTTAAAGCTAGGACCACGCCCTTTGGGATCTATGCACAATTGCATGTCACATTTATGCATTGAAAATTTCAGAAAAATCGTTCAATAAACACGAAAGCTTTTTAAGATTGGGGGAAGAAGAAGCACATAAGTGTGTTTTTTCTTTATATAAAAGAGGAATATTCAAATGAATGTAACATCAGTGAGACGCAAGGCCTAGGGTATCTTTTAGTCGGACCCCGCCGTCTAGAGCCTTCCAACTTTTTGTTTATGAACGTAAGTGTGTGGTTTCTGTGTGTATGTTGGTTTTATGAGGCACGACATTTGCTGCAGTACTCCTTAAAATGCCACTAAATGGACATTTTTGGTAAGCCATGTCTTCTATATAATGGCTTTGCTTTTTAAAATCCATTTTATCTAAGAAACTGTGATATAGAAATCTCTTGAAGATTTATTTTAGACAACCTTCCGTTGCAATCTGATGTTGGACTTGATTCTGTGTGGAAATATATTTAATATAGAATCGCTTTGATTCAGAGTTATTTGACTTCATTGGCATATACTGACTGATAGATAGGTCTTTATGTCCGTCTGATTGCCCTTTCGAGCTAAAAGCAGTCTTGACAAAGCAAGGCAATAGTAAGGTTAAAGAAGATCCTTTGAATTGTGTCAATTTTTCACAAAGCTAAAACAGTTTTCAAGGAAATTCGTACCAAATATCATATCATATAGCTGCGACACATAGCTCTGCGGTTCAATTAAACTATTAGGAAAAATAAAATAATTTTCGAATATTGGATAACAATTTTTGTCGAATCGTGAATTGTTATACAAATATATTCGAAATCATTTGAATACCTGTTGTAACAATTGTTTTGTCTCTTGTTTTCATGCGTCAAGATCAAAATAATTTAATTCCTGAAAATAGGCTGGAAAATACTCGTAAATTCATTAAAATTAAAAGTCAAATAATGCACGTGGAATGCTTTTAATAAATAACAAGGAATTTGCAAATGAAAATTAAATATATGTTATGAGATTTCAATTTAACTGCGGACATATTTCATTGTTCTAATGGAATTGTGCAGCAGCGCCGTGTGATATCACGTGTCATGGAATCAATTGTTTTCACAAAACCCTTGTGAATGCCGGCTGCTATGGGAACTGGCTGCCCTATGGCAATTGTAAATTGAGCGCAAGCATAAAACACATGACAAAAGGTATGAGGACAGCGGGGCGTACGCGTAATAAAGCTGACAGACAGCACAGACACAGGCACACACGCACACGCACTCACACACACACGCTTTAGTGTCGTATTGTTTTGCTTTGTGCAACGATTTTATGGCCATCTCCTACCCGTGCGGACGACACTTTTTGCCTTGCTTAGAAGGCCTGCTGTTTAAGAAGAATCCGAAAAGAAAGAAAATATGAAACAAACGCATTGCATGAAGTGTGACGGTAAAGGAATTGAAGCGTGGCCCCGTAACATTGTTTGGCCATGTTGGCTGTTGTGTTTGTTTTCGCCAAATATTACTTATACGCCACGGCGGCCGTACGAGCGGGCGACCAGGTGTTCGCCAGCTTAACATTTGCCAAATGAAACGAAGGCAACTAAGCTACTGAAAAGCTCCTAATTAATTAACAATTAATCACAGAAAAGCCGCCACGCAAAAAGATATCGAAATCGCTTGAAATTCTCAACTCCTCAACTGGCAACCGGCCATTTAAAAGGTCACATACCTTTATACATGCTCACTCGGGTCTACTCATATTCATACGCATAGTTCAAGCTTCTGCTCGTGCGCCCACTCATTGCCATTGTCAATGTCCAGACGCTGGCCGCGCCTGCCGGCCAAGGCGCTTATCATAATGACCGAAATGCTCTAATCGTGGGCAATTAACGTGACCAAATTTAATTTCCGTCCAGGTCGCTATCAACGACAGCGACGACGACGTCGACATCGACTGCGCTGCCGGCAGCAAACGTGTCGCTATATTATTTACAAAATATTATTTGCTTGCAACGGCCTCTAATGCCATTGGAAATCCATCATGTAAGCCACTGCTTGGTCTTTTAATACTCTGTGCGATAAAGTGTAAGAGAGTTTATTGGTTTTGTCTAATGTTTGCAGAGATCATTAAGCTGGATATACGTATGTAAGCGAGGTTTTCCGCGTCTGAGAATATTTTATGAGAAAATCTATAGCTTTTCCAGCCCTAAAGCTTCGTTTGTTTATCTCGGGAACTACAAAAGCTGGAGCTATATTAAACAAATTAAAATAGTTATCCTCATATTCCATACGCATAATATAAAAACATAATGTTTTTTCGATATCTGCGCCCTTTTCGTTAGTATCGATATATATATATATATATATATACTATACTATACGATACTAACGAAAAGGGCGCAGATATATATATATATATATATATATATATACTATACTATACGATACTAACGAAAAGGGCGCAGATATCGAAAAAACATTATGTTTTTATATTATGCGTATGGAATATGAGGATAACTATTTTAATTTGTTTAATATAGCTCCAGCTTTTGTAGTTCCCGAGATAAACAAACGAAGCTTTAGGGCTGGAAAAGCTATAGATTTTCTCATAAAATATTCTCAGACGCGGAAAACCTCGCTTACATACGTATATCCAGCTTAATGATCTCTGCAAACATTAGACAAAACCAATAAACTCTCTTACACTTTATCGCACAGAGTATATATATATATATATATATATATTTAGATACGCAGGTATCTACGCCCATTTTTATAAAAATAAAAATAATATATATGCAAACCGAAGTGCCATATAGAAGCTCAGACTATTTAATAAGAATCGGATTAAAAATTTTTTAAAGAATGCATTTGCCCTGTTGGGGGCTTGGATAGGTGAATATTTGGTTACTGCGACGCTCGTTAAAGGGTATCTGCTGGTCGGACACTTCCGGCCAGCAAGTTCTAACTTGTTTTTTTTTCCGTGTGCTTTGTCATTTGCGGCTAGCTTTTTGTGTTTGTTCGCGCGCAAAGGTAAATGAGCGAACCACCCAAACACTCAACCACCAAACCACCCAACCACCCACACGACTGTGATTAGCTGTCTGGCAGGTAACCGCGCTTCAGTTCCTGCCGCTTCATGTTTCAGTTTTTAAACTTGTGGCATCTGTGTGTCCGCTGTCCCGGCCGGTTCGCGCCCCCATTTGAATGGGCGTCTTGGGCGCAATTTAGCTATGCGCAGAAATAACAGTAAATATGTAGCGCAACGGGAGAGCAAATTACTTATGTTAATTAGTTGGCACTGCTAATGAGATATCGCACAGATCCCAAAATGATTGCCTGCAGTCATAACCTTACTTAAAAGTCCAGCCAAGTTTTCGTTTTACATATTTTTTGAGTCCTTGCTGCAGCCTATAACATATTCCTAGCTGTAAGCTGGTTCAAATGCTGAATTTCAATTAATTTTTTACTATGAACCGAACCTTAAATCAAACCAATTGCTCAAAAAATATCCAAACCGAAACATATTGTAAAGGCAAAATTTAGAATTTAGAAAATTTGGAACTTTACAACATGTGGAAAAACAGGCTCTCGAGCCGAACTACAAGGCGGGTTGGCTTGTTTAGGCTTTGCATACCTGCTGTAAGCATAATTCAATGTTGCAATGTCCCTTCTATAAACATACTGCTTACTGGCATCGCAGCCAAAATGTTGTGCTGCTAATGAGCTACATGGCAACGTGTACTTTAATTATCATCAATTAATACGCATAATTCCATGTTTGGATTGCATTGGATGTGCTTTGTAAATTTATATTTAACACGGACTGCATTTCAAGCAACTGTCAGTTGATGCTGAAAACAATTAAGTTAGAATTAATTCAATTAAATGTGCATGTATTCATATTTTCTTTGACA